TCAGTATGGTTACAGTATTTTCTTCCTCATGGATCCAAATGAGGTCCTTTACAAAAAATCATACTGTTTGGGGTATATACTAAAAGCTTTATTATTCATTAGTTTATTTTTTAAACTTATTTATTTTGAGAGAGAGAGAGTGTGTGCACACAAGTGAGAGACTGAGGGAGGAGCAGAGAGAGAAGGTGAGAGAGAGAGAGTCCCGAGCAGGCTCAGCTCTGAGCCAAGTCTGATGTGGGACTTGAACTCACCAACTGTGGGATCATGACCTGAGGTGAAACCAAGATTCAGACACTTAATCATAACCAACTGAGCCACCGAGGCACCCCACTGTTATTCATTAGTGTTGTTAATTATTTCTTTGTGTATGTTTTTGTGGGAGATTGAGCCTTATGAGGAAACATTTAACCTTGAAGTCCAATGTTAACTCTGGCCCTCTGGAGAGTGCAGCTCTGAACAGTTCTTACATGTGTGTGGTTGTCACTTTCTTATCTGCAAAATGGGGCATGATGTTGATGGTCTCCTCTGGATCTGAATATGAATTTTGTGGAAATTAACAAAATTTATTTATATATTTTCTTAGTGTTTAAATAAGGAAAAGATAGTGTATGAATGTCGTGTGTGTGAAGTTCTGGCATGTAGCACTGTGTTGTGTTGCTCTCTTTCATTTACAATCTCCAACATTTGTTTTACATGACTTAGATTTTTTCTCCCATGCCTGGAGAATCCTGTGAGAATGCCAACCCTTCCTTGGGCAGAAGAATGTCGGTTAATGGTGAGAAGTTGCTTAAGAGAGAAAAACCCAGGGAGTTGATTTTTCCATCTAATTATGACCTTCTGCGGCACCTGCAGTATGCAACACATTTCCCCATACCTCTGGTAAGTCATTGCTTCCATCAGTTGGCACCCTGATTGTTCCATTATGGGATCATTAGCCATTGATTATTCCATTGTGTGCCTCCATAACACATATGAAAGGAGGTGAGTTTTTGCATTTACTGCTTCTTTTGTTATAATTACAAGTGTATAGCACACATACGGATGTAGTTTAAATTTGTGATGTGATACTACTGGCTAGCTAGATTTAATTGAATTTTCTAGGTTACTATCCTTTTATCAAGAGCATTTGAGTCACTGTAAATGATGTCTAAATGTGTTTTCCTATTTTTTGAAACTTCATTTACTAGTAGCTCTTATGTGCGTTGTATTGTGCTAGGTACTTGTGGTATTAGACAGATGAATGAGAATTGGGGGCATAGGAAAGATGAATAAGATAGGAGGGAGACACATATAAAATGATCAACACTAAAATGAGTGCAGTGATTGAGTGAAACCACATGTGCCCTCTGGAAGATAAACCATTTGACATTCTTGGGTCTCTTCCACTCTCAGAGAATAAGTAAGTATTAAAGGGGAGAGAGAACATCTGATTGAGAAATGGGTTAAGGCTTCATAGAAGAGGTTGTATATGACATGGACTTGGGTTTTGATCTGTTGAATTTAAGAATTGATAGCATATGAGAAATACTTGGGAAATTTAGTGTTGGACTCAGAACTTGTGATTTGCGTTTTGCTGAAAGGGAACAACATCGGTTTCTTGATATTCATAAAAATTGGGCCCAAATCTAAATGTGTTTATATTCTTAAATTACTGTTTTTTCTCCTGGAATTTTAAGTGAAATGTTAATGAGTCATTCTTTCATTGAGCACTAATAATATAATTATTATTATTATTATTATTATTATTTTAACAAGTGTAATTTTGAGGAATGTATACTGTTATCTTCTGGATACCTTTGAGGAATTTTGATCTGTAAACTAAACATTTTTTTTTTTTAAGTTTATTTTGAGAGAGAGAGAGAGAGACACCACATGTGTAAGTCGGGGAGCGGCAGAGAGAAAGAGAGAGAGAGAATCCCAAGCAGGCTCTGCATTGTCAGCACAGAGCCTGATGCAAAGCTTGAGCTCAGGAATTTCGAGATCATGACCTGAGCCAAAGTTGGATGCTTAACCAACTGAGCCACCCAGGCACCCCTAAATAGTTTAATTTTTAATTTTTGTTGTTATTTTGGAACTTTCAAAATCACTACACCTATATATATTTTTATTACAATTTTTCTGTCCAGAGCTATGTCAAAAGTTGCCACAATTCTTTCTTGCACATCACTGGCTGAATACATTTTTTAGCTGTTACCTGTATACATCACTCATTTTCAACATAATGGAATAATCTCACTGTTCATTTAGAACAATAGAAGGGGTGGCCTGATAGTTTAGAGATGTGTCCTGAAGAGTTTATGGATGAACTATTACAGTGCCTGGAATTTGCTTTAAAAATAGTTGGGAGTCAAGAGTGGGGTTAGGCAGTATATGGAAGTCTGGAGTTTGGTTAACCGTTAATGCACCAATGTTAATTTCCTACTTTTGGCAAACGTGTCATGGTTACATGAGGCATTAACGTTAGGGCGAACTGCATGAAAGGTATATGGGAACTTTCTGTACCATCTGTGTACCTTTTCTATAAATCTTAAAGTATTCCAAACTAAAAAGTTAATTTAAATATAAGGGCGAGGGGTAATAGAGCAGATATGACAAAATGATGAAAATGGCTGAAACTAGTTGAAGATTCTGTGTTTCTCTCTTGGGTAAGTGGAGCTTTGCTGGCCTTCCTCTTCCTTGCATCTGGGCTTGCAGGACACTACCCAAACACGGACATCTTTATTCTGTTGTTCATGTAATCCTTGGCTGCACAGTCATTCCCACCATGTAACATTCTAAAGACTGTCCACTTCCTTAGAGGAAGAAGCATGAATGATTTCCAGTGATTAAGTCTCTCATGATGGATTATGATAGAATTCAACTGTAATGCGTTCATACAAGAACTGCTAGAAAATTGATATCATTGGATACAGTTTATTAATAGCTTTCCATCACCAGTTGCCCTAGACTTCCCTTTACTGTGTCATTTAGAATAAAATATTAGTAAGGGGAAAATGAACATATATGCTAATATGAGATTGACATTAGGAATGCTGTACAGAGTCTGGTTCTCTTTCTTAATAAAGGTATATTGCCATTTTTTTTTTTCAACGTTTATTTATTTTTGGGACAGAGAGAGACAGAGCATGATCAGGGGACGGGCAGAGAGAGAGGGAGACACAGAATCGGAAACAGGCTCCAGGCTCTGAGCCATCAGCCCAGAGCCTGACGCGGGGCTCAAACTCACGGACCGCGAGATCGTGACCTGGCTGAAGTCGGACGCTTAACCGACTGCGCCACCCAGGCGCCCCTCTCTTTCTTAATAAAAAGGGAAAGTTTGACTAACTTATTATACATGTGAGGAAAATATGAGAATGTGCTGGGGGAAAAAAAAATTGTTTGCCTCCTCCCTCCAGCCCCCGATCTTGAAGATGTGGCCCTAGTGAGTGAAGACCAAGGAAAGAAGACTACTAGGGCCTTGACTAAAAGATTCAGGAAAAGAATCTAGTAGTTGTATGTAGGACTATATGAATGATGTCTTGATTTGCCTGTCAGTAACAACATGTTGTTAGACTATTGACAAAGACAAGTTTTAGTGTATCACCATTCTACCAGCCTGTAACATAATTGTGTCCTTTACACCTTGTGTCAGATAGGTGATGCAGTGCGGGGTTCTGTCGTTACCACTAGCTAACTAGAATTTGTCCAGCACTTACCATGTTAGAAGGGTAATAGACATTTTCTTTTGTGCATTTTCTCACTTATTATTCTCTTCAAAATCCGGGAATACTGAAATTGTACACAGGAATTGTCTTGGGTTCAAGCTTCAGAAAATAATTCCTCTCAATGCGGTACTAAAAATAGCCCCGGAATGAAACCTGTTTTGTTAGCTTCCAGGAACACCATTTCTTTCTTTCTTTTTTTGTTTTTGTTTTTAACATAAATGGGAAAGTTGATTAAAGCGAAAGTACACTTTTGAGATGTGAGAGTGGGCGAGCTCTCTGTCTCTCGAGAGTGCTGCCAGGAACACCATTTATTAATCACCGCAGCTAGTACAAATGTATTACCAATTGTTGTAATTGTTGTAAAAGTTGGGCTTTTGCTCTTGAAATGAGAAAAAACCCCCACATAGTCTCAAGTCTGGTTATCTAAATTTTTCAATCTTCTTTTTCCTAAATCTTTTATTTAATACCATCTATTGAATTCTTTCTGCATTACTTGTAGTCTAGAGAATTTGATCTAAGGATTGTGACCCTGAGAGCTAGAGTCACCCATTCTTTAAACTGTTGGCCCCACGTGGGGTCAGTCTCAGACATGGCACCAGTCAGCCCAGCACATGTTGTGTTCGTAAGAAGGCCTTGCTATGTGGATCTGGCATGTCTATTTTAAGGCCATTTGACTAGTGCTGTTTTTCCGTACCTTTGATGTGAGTTTCTAGTTCCAAAACAGTAGTTTCAGCAGGTAGTATAGTTTAACACCGTGCTTGGAAATGTTATAGGGTAATATTTCATGTTACTACAAAATGAAAATAAGAAGTCACTGAAGTTGTCGTCGCTAACATTAGAAAATCTTTAAAATCTATGAGAATATGAGTATATATAGTACATCGAAAACTATCCATGTATTTTCAAGCCTTTTTCGAAATAAACAGTTTTAGTTATTGTTTTAGAAAAACCATTAGATCTTAATTGGAGTAGTGAGCTAGATGATGACTAAAAATAAATCAGGACAAGTGGTTTCATGTAAAGATCAGCTGGATTTTATTTAGTATGATCTAAATGGTTTTTTTTTTTTTTTTTTTTTTTTAACGTTTATTTATTTTTTTGGGACAGAGAGAGACAGAGCATGAACGGGGGAGGGGCAGAGAGAGAGGGAGACACAGAATCAGAAACAGGCTCCAGGCTCTGAGCCATCAGCCCAGAGCCCGACGCGGGGCTCGAAGTCACAGACCGTGAGATCGTGACCTGGCTGAAGTCGGACGCTTAACCGACTGCGCCACCCAGGCGCCCCTGATCTAAATGGTTTTAAATCGTGTTGCCAAAGGGCTTTCTGGCATCTTACATGGAGATCATTTTGCATATTTCTATCAAGAAGTCAGTTCCCAATATTCAAATGGATACTTCATGAATGACTCTGAGTCTGTGTCATAAAACTTCTTTAGGTTTCAAGGATAATGCAAGGTGTTGTGTTGGTTCAGCAGTACTTTTTAGGTTTTTTGTTTTGTTTTTGTATGAACGTGGTTTAAGCACCACAAGGGTGCTGCTCGATTTACATTTAGAAACAGTTTCTGAGTAAAGCAGGCCACATATGGTAGCTGTCTTTTACTTAGGCTATCTTTTCTCTTTCCCAGTACTTACTGTCACTGAGACAGGAAGTGATAGCATGACATATCCCATATTTTATGCACTGCTCTCACCACTTGATTTTTCTTTTGGAGTCTTGGTCTCCTTATGTGAAGCAAAAGTCTTGGTGACTTTTAGGCGGAATGCTTTTGAGAGATGGTAGTACAGGATAGGATCAAAACACAGGTTCGACACTGCCAGGAGCAGCGTGGCCTCTTTGGCTTTGAAGAGTGAAATCCTGGTTGGGCAGTCAGATATTACTTCTGTCTGGCTGAGGGTGTATGGGATTCGGACAATGTGATACGGAACAAAGCATATAATGTAGCCTGTAGTCACTAAAAGTATGTTGATGAGGGCCCTTTTCACATATAGATAATTTTCATTATCTTTGTTTCTGTAGAGTTGTCGAATTACAAGGCAGTTAGATATTAAAATGATGGCTGAGAAATTTAAAAATATTGCTACACATATGAAATTGGTCAGCAAATGCCAGTTTCTTCCAAACTCCTTTTTGAATTCCATGCATCCCACATTTGGCTTCTCCTCGATGTCTTTGATGGGAATTATCATGTTGGGCACCATTATAAGAAGGACCATTAGCCACACCACGGTCGATATCATTTTGGCAAATCCAGGTTCTTGTATCCGATAAATCTTAGAGCTGTACGTCAACTGAAGACAACGATCAATACTGACAAATGCTAAGAAGATAATTGATAAGTACATATTAATGTAGATGAGGCAGGCTGTCACTTGGCAGTGAAATATCTTCAGCTTCCAGGGTGCCACACCCAAGTCAACAACGATTTTCACTGGTAATGCCAGAGTGAGCAGGAAATCAGCTGTAAGCAAGTTAATTAAGTATATGCTTACACACCTGTGATTTGTGTTGTTCTGTATGAAAGCCCAGGTTGCAAAACCACTTCCGATAATTCCAACAAGAAAAACTAAATAAAAAAAATATGTGAACGGCTCCAGACCTGTGTAAACTGGGCAGAAGAGAGAACTGTTTGTCATCTTGAGGGAAAGGAAGGATGACTCTTCAAAAAAAAAAAAAAAAAAAAAAAAATCCGAAGAATCTGTTTAAAAAAATGGTAGGGACGTTAGTAATTAAAATTAGCGACTATTTTCTGTTAAAACATCTATATTCACAATGCTAGGTTACAATTTTTCTAATTCTTTTTTTTTTTAATTTTTTTTTTCAACGTTTATTTATTTTTTGGGACAGAGAGAGACAGAGCATGAACGGGGGAGGGGCAGAGAGAGAGGGAGACACAGAATCGGAAACAGGCTCCAGGCTCTGAGCCATCAGCCCAGAGCCCGACGCGGGGCTCGAACTCACGGACCGCGAGATCGTGACCTGGCTGAAGTCGGACGCCCAACCGACTGCGCCACCCAGGCGCCCCTTCATTTTACTTTTCTAAACAAAACAGGATTTACTAATAATCTCTAATATAAGTGGTAGCTATGCTAAGTAAGTAATAGCTTTAGAGGAGAGAAATTTGAACTTAATGCAACTATCTAAAACCAATATTTTTTAATCAACGTTTATTTATTTTTGGGACAGAGAGAGACAGAGCATGAACGGGGGAGGGGCAGAGAGAGAGGGAGACACAGAATCGGAAACAGGCTCCAGGCTCTGAGCCATCAGCCCAGAGCCCGACGCGGGGCTCGAACTCACGGACCGCGAGATCGTGACCTGGCTGAAGTCGGACGCTTAACCGACTGCGCCACCCAGGCGCCCCACAATTTTTCTAATTCTTATAGGAAATTTTACTGGTGAATTTACTAGATTGTGTGGACTGGTGGGAACGTCTGAGATTATGAGGAAGCCTGGGTTTTCCATGGTGTGATTTCATGATTTTGGAATTCCCATGTATGTTTGCTTCTAGAAGGGATTTTTGTTAAGAAGTTATTTTTATTTATTTTCATCAAGAGACTAATGATTTAAGTTTATTTTCAGAAAGCAAGCGAGCGTGAGTGACTGGGAGCACAAGCAAGGGAGGGGCAGAGAGAGGGATAAAGAGAGAATCCCAAGCAGGCTCTGTATTGTCAGTATGGAGCCCTGTGAGGTGGGGGTGGTGGGCTACAACTCATGAACTGTGAGATCATGACCTGAGCCGAAATACAGAGTCAGTCTCTTAACTGACTGAGCTGCCCAGGCATCCCTTAAGATTTTATTTTTGAGTAACTTCGACACCCGACATGGGTCTCAAACTCACAACCCTGAGATCAAGAGTTGTTCACTTTACCAATCAAGCCGGTCAGGCGCCCCTAGAAGGGATATTTTGACATCACACTTTTGTATTCCGGTAGTTCTTTTGCTACCAGTTGTGTTGGAAGTTAGTTTGCAGAGGAGGTAAGTGAACTGAAATTCTGAGAAACAAAGAAAGGAAATGAAGGTAACATTGTTCGGTTGTGGCTAAGCCTGGAGAGGTTTCACTGAGCTTCCTGGCCTGCTTTTTTCGTAAATTGACAAGAGCTCTTCATGCTGGAGGAATGTAGGCTGAGAGGGGAAGTAATGGGTGACAGAAAATTGTACTGAAATTTAGAGGGAGTTACTTTGAAAGTAGGCCCTTCATTGTGTCATCTACTAGAACATTTTCACAGTCAAAATTGCATTTCATTTTTCTTTTTAGCAGAAAGATTTGAAGGGTTAGAGTCTGGTCTTGATGCTTATTCCTTCCTTTTCCCTCACTCAGTTTCCTAATGACATAGACCTTGTGATGTCCACTATGTAGCCACATGGGACTATTGAGCACTTGAAACGTGGCCATTTCAGATTGACATGTGCTGTGAATGCAAAATACACACTGGGTTTTAAAGATGTTTTAGGTTGGGGCGCCTGGGTGGCGCAGTCGGTTAAGCGTCCGACTTCAGCCAGGTCACGATCTCACGGTCCGTGAGTTTGAGCCCCGCGTCGGGCTCTGGGCTGATGGCTCAGAGCCTGGAGCCTGTTTCCGATTCTGTGTCTCCCTCTCTCTCTGCCCCTCCCCCGTTCATGCTCTGTCTCTCTCTGTCCCAAAAATAAATAAACGTTGAAAAAAAAATTAAAAAAAAATAAATAAATAAAGATGTTTTAGGAGATATTATAAAAAACATTACAAGTAGTAAAATTTCACTATTGTATACAAATAGTACAGTTAATAAAATCTCAATATTTTTATATTCAGCATATGTTGAAATGGTATTTTTGATGTATTAGGTTAAGTACGTTATTAAAATTAATTTCTCCTGTTTATTTTTGCTTTTGTAATGCAGGTACTAGATCATTCTAAAGTATCTTTCTGGTTTGTGTCCTAGTTCTATTAAACTGTGCTTGTATGGATGTTTCTGTGTCAGTGCTTTTTTTTTTTTAAATTATTTTTAATGTTTGTTTATTCTTGAGACAGAGAGCATGAGCGGGGGAGAGGCAGAGAGAGAGGGAGACACAGAATCAGAAACAGGCTCCAGGCTCCAGGCTCTGAGCTGTCAGCATAGAGCCTGATATAGGGCTCGAACTCATGGACTGTGAGATATGACCTGAGCAGAAGTCAGATGCTTAACCTGTTAAGCCATCCAGGCGCCCGTCTGTCAGTGTTCTTGAGAAATTAGACCATGGATGTATTTTAAAGGCTTCTAGAACAAGAATATATGATCATTGGTTACAAAATTTTCAAGGAGAAGCTCAGTTATGTTAGCATGAAAACATCTATCATACTTGAGTGTTTTCTTTTTTCTTTCATTGTAGGGTTTGAAAAGTGTAGGACATGTTCTTAGGACCATTGTGATTGACGCTGATAATGCTGAAATCATGACGTATTCCCTCCATTCCTGGAGGGAATTGTTCCTCCTCCTGGAACAATTAGAGGTTGATAAGTGCAAGTTAAACCATTTGGGCTTCGTTTACTCCCTCTGACCTGGTCGAAATTAATGCTCTTAGTGCCATAGGTACATCTCTCTAGTGCTGATTCTGGTGTGCATGCTCCTCATACATAGTAAACACCTGCCTTTTGTTTCAAAGACCAGAAGATTTTGTGTTTTAGCAGAAAAAAAACCGATACACAACTTCTTAAAAATAGCAAATAAGTACAGTGGCTAAAAAGTCCAAATAAGCCCATTCTCTGAAACCTCCATTTATTTTTTATTTAAAAAAAAATTTTTTTTTTCAATGTTTATTTATTTTTGGGACAGAGAGAGACAGAGCATGAATGGGGGAGGGGCAGAGAGGGAGGGAGACACAGAATCGGAAACAGGCTCCAGGCTCTGAGCCATCAGCCCAGAGCCCGACGCGGGGCTCGAACTCCCGGACCGCGAGATCGTGACCTGGCTGAAGTCGGACACTTAACCGACTGCGCCACCCAGGCGCCCCTGAAACCTCCATTTAAAAGTAAAACAACAGAGGTGCCCGGGAGGCTCAGTCAGTTGGGCATCCAACTCTTGACTTTGGCTCAGGTCATGATCTTATGATTTGTGAGATTGAGCCCCACATTGGACTCTGACAGCATGGAGCCTGCTTGAAATTCTCTCCCTCAGTAAAAAACCAAAAATTTTTGAAGTCTTTCTGATCCTTAATTCTCCTAATTATTTAATGATCCACTGTGTACATCTTGGGATGAAACAATCTACAAGCAGACTGACAAGGCAGATGTATATGAAACTTTATAAAATGTCATTTAAAAGGGTACATGTCCTTCTTCTTTTCCTACTTGCCATAGGACTTCAGAGTTCATGGATAATTCATTCTGTACTAAACTCAGTGAAAATAATTGAGTACTTACTTGTGTCTGGTACTGAGCTAAGTATTTTACCTTTCATTATTCCTGTCATGTTGGTGTTATTATCCCTACTTTACATATGAGAATACTGAGGCACAACAAGGTCAAGTAACACCCAGGGTTATATAGCTGTTAAATTATAGACTCAGGATTCTAACTCAGAAGTCTGATCTCAGAAGCTATGTTCAAAACTACTCTAGAACTCTCGATTAGAGTAATGATGATGCTAGTGATGATGATAATGACTATTATTATCGAGCCAGCCTTACTAAGTGCTTACTATGTGGCAGGAACTCTATTTTAAGCAATTTTCATATAAAAGAGCAGAAATAAAATATCGTTCTTAACTTTGTCCCTGAATACTAATAAAGGAAATTTAGACTTTAAGTATTTTGATGTTTCTTTTTGCTATACACACACACACCATATATATGCACACACACTATATTTATATTTATATTTAAAAAACAAACCTACATTCTATCTTTTAAATCTAAACCTCCCTTACTTTCAAAGTTCCTATGACCTAGCTGCTTCAAGCCATCCCTACAGTCTTTATTCTAGTTCTCTAGATTTGTGGGATCGCTACTCTGTGACCTGCTCCTTCTTGCCTTTGTACTTTTAGTTGTGATAAAATTTGGGGGATCATAGGACTTTAAGGATGGAGGGAACCTTTAATGATAGTGTCTAGTCCAAGTCCCAGATCAGTTGAGGACACTGAGTTCTGACACTTGGGTATTGTTCAGGGTTTTCCAGCTTGTGAGAACAGGCTAGAATCTGACCATGTTGCTCATATTCTAGGCTTTCTGCCCTTATCCTTGCTATGTCCAAATCCTTCCTACCTTAAAATGCCTGGAGTAAGTTCTTCATGTCTGCAGTCTCTTACAGGCTTCACTGGCTTCTTAGGACTCTGATACTTCTTTTTTAATTTTATTTTTTAAAATTTACATCCAAATTAGCATATAGTGCAACAATGATTTCAGGAGTGGATTCCTTAATGCCCCTTACCCATTTAGCCCATCCCCCTTCCCACAACCCCTCCAGTAACCCTCTGTTTGTTCTCCGTATTTAAGAGTCTCTTCTGTTTTGTCCCCATCCCTGTTTTTATATTATTTTTGTTTCCCTTCCCTTAGGTTCATCTGTTTTGTCTCTTAAAGTCCTCATATGAGTGAAGTCATATGATATTTGTCTTTCTCTGACTAATTTTGCTTAGCATAATACCCTCCAGTTCCATCCATGTAGTTGCAGATGGCAAGGACTCTAATTTTTGATAGTAACCGTTTATTTGAACCTTGGCACTCTGAGCATCCTTTCCTTCTCTGGGTCCAAAGCTAGTGTTGGGATAAATTGATCTTTGTCTCTGTCTCCCACCTTTGCTCATTATTCCTTTACCGGGTGTTAGGATTTTGGCTTATGCTCTTGTATTTCAAATGTTATATAATAACAGTTAACACAGTATTTTTTTTTTTTAAAGCGTTCCTGTTGCTAATACGATTTATACAAAAAAGCCTCATTTCATAGATGAATATATTAATATTCTCTGTAACTAGAACTGGCCATCCACCCATACCGCCTATGGGTAATTTATTTAAAAATAATTAGAGTGTAACTATTTATTTGATGATGCTGGAGAATCACGTGGCTTTGTACTTGGTTTTCATGAACCTCAGTCTAGATTGCAGTGAAAAACACATGTTGTCATTTAAAAGTTTTGGTACATTGATTAGAGGTCTAATTATACTATAATAACATTCTGTGTTATTTATCACAAATTAGAAAACCAGGCGCTTGCTAATTATTTCGTAAACCAATTATTTACCCTGTGGAAATTTGAGGTATGCAGAGGTACTACAGCAAAGAAAAGATTTCAAGTGGCTCCTTTGTTTAGATAAAGTGCCCATTGCTTAGAAAATAAATAAACTCATTACATTTTTTAAAAAATGAATGTCACAATAGAACGTTCTTGAAATTACCTATTATAATGTTTGTGGAGGAAAGTCCTTTTAAGACCCGTTGTTGTACCCTGTTGTAAAGCCTACAACATGGCGTTTGTCCATCATAAAATGTAACGTTGACTTACTGAATAGTTATGTTCACCTGTAGGTAAGTATTCAGTTTTGTATAAATTAAACTTTTTATTTTTTTAATTTTTTTTGAGAGGGATGGCTGGGGTCATCAGATAGAGGAAAGTTCATAGTGAGAATCTATTTAGAGTTTAATAATGGGTGCCTTCTTACACAGCAGCCTTATTATATGTAGGTATTTCCAACGTACACGTTTTAAGCTTTGAAAATCATAGCTTCCCTTTCTACCAAAAGATACTTGAACATACTGAGTATTTAAAGAGACCTACCTGGGGGGATACTCTCTGAGCCACTGCGGGCTCCTTGCAGGTCTTCACAGAAGCATGAGCTGTTGGCCTGGCCTCAGCAGTAGCAGCTTCATTGCGCGAACGTTGGCTGTACTAAAAATTTCCTTTCCTTTTTGTGTGGTTTTAAAGTGTTGCATATTGACGTAGATGAAGCTGTGGTTTGTAAATAGTTTAACTCTATGAAAGTCTCCCAAAAAGGTTCTTGTCAATTTTGTGTATGCTTTCTGAAGCAATTCAGATTTCTGTATTCTGCTAGAGGAAAGATTTTTACTTGTCCATTGTAGTACCTAACAGTTTTTTGTTTTTTTTTCTTAAGCACCCAAGATGTGTTTTCCATCATAATGATATGAAAGAACATCACTTTTTGTGCCTTGAAAGGGGCTATAAGTTAAATATATTAGATCTTGAAGCCAAATTTCTGATACTCATCAGCCTTTGGAAGTTAATTGTAGTTGGGATTAAAACAATTGTAGTTGGGATTCTGCTGAGACATTTATTAATAAACAACAAAAAGATGTTATATGACATAGTCTGTTAAAGTTCATGTTTTATTTTTTGGTCATTGTAGAAAAATCTGGAAATAAACAAGAAGAAAATTATATGCACAGAGATAATTACTGTTAAAATTTTTGGTATATAAATTGACACAAATTTTGGTACAGATTTAAAAATTCTATGTGTATGTACACCCATCTAATGTGTTATTATATTGTGCATACTGTTGTATGGTTTAATTTTTTCATTCAAGGATATACTGGATCTGTTTTTCTAAGTTAAAAGAGTAGGCCTGCCAGGAGCGGTTGTCAGTTTGGGCCCAGCAGCTTAATGCATTGAGACAGGTATTTAGTAATCAGTACATTGTACGTAATGGAACCTTCCTGTGCATTTCCTGTGCATTTAAATTGTTTAGTTAGATGCTTATTCTGCTTGTGGTGAGCACGTGCTCACTGAGTGTCGGAATGGAACTCAGTGTGGTGAGGGACCTAAAAAAAAGTCACTATCTCATCCACATCATCAAGTGGCTTTGCTAGGTTATCTGCTTTGAATAAAGGTAGGTTTTGAGCTCATATGTCAACCTTATTTTCTGGAGCTCTAAGTCTGCTTGTCCAAAGTTGATTTGTAAGTGCAAAGCCATTTCTTCATCAGTTAGGGTCTGATTTTCTAGTGTTGCTTTATTGCTCTGGTAGTTGCTTTGATTTTGTCTCTTTTTCTCCTAATTATTAGTTTTCCAGATTAAAAAAAAAAAAAGAAAAAAGAAAAAGAAACCTCTCAAGAATCCAAAATGAATTCCTTTCGGTATTCACTTTCAAAAAGAAAAGATCTCTCAAGATACTAAATGAGATGTTAAGTTAGAGAATTTGGGGAGAGTTTAAGGGAACTTTTGAAACAAAACAACAAACCACAACAATGTAAGGATGCTTATGATGATAGTGGCTATTTGTCTCACATTTTCTGGTGTTTTTCCAAATTCATGTAGTGCTAATAACGATGATTAATATGAATATCAGTAATAATTATTACCACTGTTATTATCATAATCACTTTGCAAAAGAAAACTTTTTACATATATTCACTTATAAATCAGATGAAAAAATCCTACATCTTAAGAACCAACGTTAACTTTCATCATAACAGTGCTGGGAAATAATCTGTCTTTTATGATTTGTGTTCAATGTTGTTGGATAGGACTCACTGAAAATACACGTCAGAAAAGGCGCCCTTGCAGAGTCCAGTAAGTGGGCAGTTAGGCTCAGGGTTTATGTTCGCTGGGGTCCGGAGAGGGTGGGGTGGAGAGAATTTGGTGACATGGGGCTGGCCACCACCTGAGTGGTGAATGGTACTAACAAGGTCAGAAGCAAAACTGGAATGAATGGTTTTTGGTTTTTTTGCTGCCAGAGAGAGACAGAGCATGAACGGGGGAGGGTCAGAGATTTTTGAGACAGAGAGAGACAGAGCATGAACGGGGGAGGGTCAGAGAGAGAGGGAGACACAGAATCTGAAACAGGCTCCAGGCTCTGAGCGGTCAGCACAGAGCCTGACGCGGGGCTTGAACTCACGGACCGCGAGATCGTGACCCGAACTGAAGTTGGACGCTTAACTCCCTGAGCCACCCAGGCGCCCCTCTTTTTCCTTTTTTTAAGGAATGCTTATCTATGTTTACTTTCCTGTCCACTTTGGGGGTAAAGACAGAATTAAGAAGTCTGTTCAACTATTATTAAAAGTCTAAGGCCACAGCTTTTGTGTCTGGATTTCCAGATCTAAACGAACTGAAGTACCCTTGTTCTCAGTTGTTCTGTTTCCTTTTTGGAATGGTGAGCAACCAAACTTTTAATAGTGAAACTGAACCATGTTCTTCCTTTTGAGAATGAGGTTGAGGTAACATGATATTATGTGGAAGTATATTCAGAGTGGAAATATACTTTTTTGTGACTACCGTCCCTGTTGTGTTTTTGTTTTTAACATGAGTTCCATTTGAATTTCTAGAAGTTACTTCTTTATCTGTTTCATTAAGGACAAATGTTTGTCAGAGTGTATTTTGTTAGTGTTCTGGGAAATTAGAGGTTATCACTAAACCAGTATTTCAGAAACCCAAGTAGGGACAAGTGTGGTGAAGTTATTTTTTCCTTACGTTGGTCATGGCAAGTACTTTTTAAGAAGTGACTGGTCACTTTACTGTTTACTTTAATGGATATTTTGTTGTTTAAAATAAAAAGCAAGGGGCACCTAGGTGGCTCCATCGGTTAAGTGTCCGACTTTGGCTGAAGTCACAATCCCCAGTTTGTGGGTTCGAGCCCCGCGTCAGGCTCTATGCTGACTGCTGGGAGCCTTGAGCCTGCTTCAGATTCTGTGTCTCTGTCTTTCTCTGCTCCTCCCCTGCTCACGCTCTCTCTCTGTGTCTCACAAAAATAAATGTTACAAAAAAAATCAGAACAAAATTGCCGCACAAGTTGAGATAGAAAATTTTTATTGTAGTCAGCTCCTCCAGGCACACAAATCATGCCTTTGATCTTATCAAACACAAATATCAAGCAGTCTTTTGGTAGAAGTGTCATTTTTAATGCTTAACATTCTTAAATTTTCTTTTTTAAACATAGCACAGTAGCCCTTTGGAGCTAATAAGGAAGGGGAAAATGAATGTTGAGTAGGTAGTCACTGCCACAGCCAGATACGGGTCTGAGAGCTTATTTGTTCCAAAGAAATCTATGAGATCTTAGGAGAGTCCTCACTTTACAGGTGAGGAAACTAAGGCCTTGCCCAAAGCTGCACAGACTTCAGGGTCCTGGCCCTTCATGTGCTCCTTAAATGAAAATGTTGGGCAACAGTGGTTACACAGTAGTCCGGCACGTCCTTCCAGCTGTCCCCTGCCCCTCTGCCCCCTTCAGTGTTCCCAACTTTTTGAATTCAGGTGCTGCTGAATTTCAGAGTTTGCAACTGAGGATGTTCTCAACTCGAAGTAGTTTGCATCCCGAAGTATTTTTTTGAACTTTGGGCAAGGGGCTGTTCCTCAATTAAGAAATGCTGGTGATCAAGATATTTCTCCTTCAGGGTGTGGGGCTCTCTGTCTACCTTCTCTCTGGAGCCACTGTGCTTTAGGGTTGCATTTTGAAACTTTTTAAAAGTACATAGTTCCCTTTCCCAAAGGGGACATTTTTCCCCCAAAAAATTCAGACTTTTTTTCCCCTGACTCTCACTGAGACTGGCAGCTTCCAGTCTGAGAGCGATGAATGTGATTAGACAAGAGTACTTTATTTTTAAAATGTGTATTTATTTATTTTGAGAGAGAGCACAAACGTGTGCATGAGCAGAGGAGGGGGAGTGAGTGAGTGAGAGAGAGAGAGAAGGAGAGAGAGAGAGAGAGAGAGAGAGAGGAGAGGAGGTAAGGAGGGAGGGGATCCCAAACAGGGATCTTAAAAAGCTAACATGACCTGAGCCAAAATCAAGAGTAAGACACTTAACTGACTGAGCTCCCCAGGTGCTCAGGTGCCCCGATAAGAGTACTTTTAAAACCGAGGCATAGAATACAGAGCTTCTAACATGTGGTTGTTTCTGTATTACTTAAAGTCTGTTTTCCCTCTTTAATGAAATAGTAAAAGCTGGAAATGTTTTAAAAGCGATGGTGTTTGAAGAATGTGAACTCAATTATAAGAGTAGCTGATGGGAATATAAGCTGGTGCAGCCACTCTGGAAAAACAGTATGGAGGTTCCTCAAAAAACTAAAAACAGAACTACCCTACGCCCAGCAATTGCACTACTAGGCATTTATCCAAGGGATACAGGTGTGCCATTTCAAAGGGACACACGCACCCCCATGTTTATAGCAGCACTATCAACAATAGTCAAAGTATGGAAAGAGCCCAAATGTCCATTGATGGATGAATGGAGGAAAAAAAAAGATTTGGGGTGTGTGTGTGTATACACATACACATAATAGAGTGTATACACACACAATTGTGTGTATACACATACACACAATGGAGTATTACTCAGCAATCAAAAAGAATGAAGTCTTGCCATTTGCAACTATGTGGATGGAACTGGTGGGTATTATGCTAAGTGAAATTAGTCAGAAAAATCATATGACTTCACCCATATGAGGACTTTAAGAGACAAAGCAGATGAACCTAAGGGAAGGGAAACAAAAATAATATAAAAACAGGGAGGGGGACAAAACAGAAGAGACTCATAAATATGGAGAACAAACTGAGGGTTATGGGAGGGGTTGTGGGAGGGGGGATGGGCTAAATGGAGAAGGGGCATTAAGGAATCTACTCCCGAAATCATTGTTGCACTAGATGCTAACTAATTTGGATGTAAATTTTAAAAAATAAAAAATAAAATAAAAAAAATGCAAAATAGGATTTTACATAGAAAAAAATGTGAAAGGATCTGAGTGTTCATAGAACAACATATGGATTAATATAGAAGAAAAAAATATACATGATTCTTAACATGGTATTAAATCAACTTTTAAAAAATCTAAAAAAAAAAAAAAAAGTAGCTGAGTATACTCATTCCCCTTGCCTGTCGTTTTGTTTTTCTCCCTTTTTATTGACTATACAGTGTTAGTGGGTCAGCCTACAGTCCGTTTTATGTTTCACTTGTGAGGTCTAACTGGGAGATTTGATTCATGGATATGAAATAATTAATAAGGGGAAATCCCTAAGAAAGAACTTTTAAAGGTTATCTCGTTTCTTTTTAGTCACTGAAGTTCATTTTTTCCCCCCTTAAGTGGTTATGGTCCACTTCTTAAGAAGTTGTGAGTAATGTTTTCAAAGCTCAGAATACATTTTACAAACTCTGTTGTTACTTTCCAAGAGAAGGTTCTCCTGGAGAAATTCTCCCTATCCCTTGCCATGCGAGTCTGTGCTCTTTGATCAAGTACTTAAGGAAAATTCCAACAAATATTTATTTATGTTAATATTTTTATTAAAAACTTGTTTAATGTTTATTTTTGAGAGACAGAGAGCACGAGCAGGGCAGGAGCAGAAAGGGA